CTGGCCGGAAGGGGCAGGTGAAGTCCCGAGTGGAGAGAAATGGGGAAAGGACTCTGGGATAATGATGCTGCTGCTGATAACTAGCATTTATTGTGCACCTACTATGTGCTCAGCTGTGTTCAATGCATGGCATGCTTTACCACCAGGCATACCAGGTGCGGTTTATATTGTCCATGTTACAGACAAGAAAATGAGGCTCAGAGAGGACAAAAAAATCACTGCTGTAGATCCCACTTGGGGCAGAGTGGAGATTTAAAGCCTACTCTGGTTGACCTCATACCCCCACCCCGCCCCCCGCACCTGGATCCCTCTGCCTTCCTGCAGGCTCAAGAGTCCCCATTAGACAGGTGTGGCAGCTGAAGCTTGGTGAGTTTGCAGCGGTTCTGGCTTCTGGGAATGAGGAGAATCAGGAGCTGAGAGACAGAACTGCCAGTGGAGCCTCCCAGACAGGTACTTAGAGTAGTTGCAAACGTCTCTTGAGCGCAATAGTGAAATTAGTCCAAGGTTAAGAGCTAGGAAGCCTGGACTTGAATTCTGTTTCTGCACTAACTTGTGTGGCTTTGGGCCATTGTCTCCCTTTTCTGAGCCTCACATTGCTATCCTTGACAGAGTAACGGTTTACGACTGAATCTCCCCAAAGTTGGGTGGCCCTGTTTAATTATTCTCTCCTGGGTCTCTGAGCCTGTGCCATCTCTCTCCTGCCAGGGCAGGTTGTGGTAAGGTAGTCATTTCTTCATTTGTGCATTTATTCATTTAACCAATGTTTGCTAAGGACCTATTGTGGGCTGAAGCTCTGAGACAGAGAAAAAAAACACTTCATCCCTGCCCACAAGGAGCTCATGGTCTGGTGAGAACACTGACATGTATGTGGTTAGAACACTGTGGTTATCACATTAGCGGGGGAATGTACAGATGTAGGGAGCACTGGGTGGGAAGGTGATGCAGGGAGCATCAGAGAAGGAGATTGTAACTGTGCTGGGGGCACTTGGGTTTCCTCTGGACCAAGACTTGAAGAGTGAGGAGGAATTTTCCAGGCACACAAACATTTGGAGGGAGAGGCAGGAGAGAGGGGGAGTGGATGTGTGTGTGTGTGTTCAGGGGGGAGTGGGGGCACAGAGAATAGGAAAGGAAGTGTTTCAGACACGGCAGAGAACAACATGTGCAGTCCCACCAAGGTGCAGAGGACCTGCTCATTCTGGGAATTCTCCGAAGTCCAGCATTGTGGACCCTCGCGTGTAAAATGTGTGTGTAGGATGACGGAGGACAGCAGGCAGGGGCAGATTATGGTGGATGCAGACTGCTTGGAACAAGAATGTAGCACGGCGGAAGTGTTGAAGAACCTTGAGCAGGGGATTGATCTGATCACTGGGTTGAGGGAACTAGAAGTGGAGTCCCAGAGGCCAGGAAACCTGTAAGGGGGGGCTGTGAGGTGCCCAGGCCACAGGGCAAGGCACTGGAGGTAGGTGAGGTCTTCTGTTTGTCCACTCACTCTCCCAAGGATAAAGTGCCTGAGTTAGGTACAGGGTTAGGGTAGGAGAACTCAGCAGAGGGATGCCAAAAGGCCAGTGTCTAGAGCAGTGGTTCTCAACCTGTGGGTCGCGACCCCTTTGGCGGTCGAATGACCCTTTCACAGGGGTCGCCTAAGACCATCCTGCATATCAGATATTTACATGACGGTTCATAACAGTAGCAACATGACAGTTATGAAGTAGCAACGAAAATAATTTTATGGTTGGGTCACAACATGAGGAACTGTATTTAAAGGGACAGAAGGTTGAGAACCTCTGGTCTAGAGGAAGATGGGCTTATCCATGGCCTCATTTCTAGTGTGGAGGAGAGAATCCCAGTGGGAAATACTGAGCCTCCATTTCTTTATCTGTGAAATGGGGACGGTAAATATGATAGCAATAATTCTTGATCCCCAAACTAAGATGGCAGAATAATTGAAATGGCAATTATTCCAAGCCCCCTGCCCTTTTACTGAAGGATAGCTAACTAGGGATAAATGGGGTGTTCTGGGTACTTAACAGTTAATCCTTATAGCATCCCCATGAGAACACAGCATTATCCCATTTAACAGAGGGTGAAGTTGAGGCACAGAGAGGCTAAGTGCCTTGCTTAGGTAACACAGTGTTTGAATCACAATGCCACACAAGCTACTACATGCATTTTGCAACAAATTCCACCAATGGTCCCTCCTCTACTTCAGGGCTCAGATGAACTCCTGCCGGCAAAAGGGCCCCTAAAAACGGCCAAGTGCTCTGGGAACGTGAGCCATGGGTGTACACCCACACCCACGAACCCCAAACCAGGTTCTTAAGTCAGAAAGACCCATTTACAGGAGGGGGCATTTAGGGGGCACACGCTAGGAGTGCGCCTCTTCTTGAGCAAGTCGGCTCACCTCTCTGCGCCTCTATTTTCTCATTAGTAAAATGGGAACAAGGGCACCGTCTGTCAAGCCTGTAGTGAGGATTAAAGTGGATTTCATTGGTGACAAGCGGGGCTCGGGGGTGGGACGCTGAGTTGTTAGTGTTGGGGGCTTGGCCCACGCGCCCAGCAAACCCGGGGGCCGGCGGGGAGCGGCTGGGGCG